GCGAAGCGGGGCGGGCCCGGCGCCGTCACTGCGTCTTGGCGCCCGAGCTCGGCCTCGGCCAGGGCTGCCCGCGCCGGGGGGGAGGGGCCTCCAGCTACCCCAAGGGATCCAGGCCACCGGGAGACGCCCCGCGGAGAGACCCCTAGGAGAGAGCCACTCTCATGAGTAGACCCCTCAACCCAAGAAATCCCCCAAGGGAAACATTCCTACTGAGACACCTTCCCTATGCGGGCACCCCCTCCCAGCCACTCCTCCCGGGAGCCACATTCCCACAGGGAGATGGTCTCCACAGGGAGGTGTCTCCAGTCAAGAAATTTCCCCAGACCCCGAAAATCAGTCCTAAGAGCGATGATCCCTGAGACGTATCTCTTCCTCTCAAAATCCCCCTCACCCCTAGAAAGGGACAATCTGGCCAAGAAATATCCCCACGGGTGACATTTCAACATTGCAACGAGAGACATCCTCCCCCAAACCCATATTTTCGGTGGGATATTGTGCCCACAAAAGAGACCCCCAGCATCTCAAGGAGAGATATTTGCAGAGTGACAGTTTTACTGGAGAGATCACTGCATACGGGAGAGATCCTAAGAAATATTTCCATGGCGATGCCCCTTCAGAAAAATGTTTACTCGAATATATCCCCTTCAAAGGCCAGCCTCTCCCAAATAGAGCGTTCGTTCCTCAGCAAAGCCTGCATAGAGCAGCAGCCTCCTCCCTCACCGTCAGAATTAAGGAGCCAGACCAGGCCAGCCGTATTTATAGGAGCGATTAGCTGGTAATTGGGGAGAAGGTCAGCTGAAGCCTTTCCCTCCCACCCCAGTTTCCTATAGCTGAGGCCCAATGGACCATGAATGCATGCTTCCTGGGGTTGGAAGGGGAAGAGTCTGAGACTTCCCCACTCTGGGTCTGAGCATTAGGGGGCAGGGTGGGGAGTGACTTCCCAGGGTTCTCGACCCCTAGCTGTTCCCAAGGCCCTTGAGGGCGCTGTCGCTGGGCGGAGCGATCCCTGATGACCGGCAGGGGCTACTGCGAGGTCCCCACGTGTCGCTGGGGCCCTAGGAGATTCCAAGTCCTTCTCTGTATCTGTCTGTCCCTTTTCCCGTGTTATCTCTGTTTGTTTCTCCGTCTCTGTCTGTCAGCAGGTACGTGTTGCTGTCTTGCTGAGTCCGTTCCTTTCACCTCTCTCTCTGTTTGGAGAATTCCCTCCTGTGGCTCCATCTCGCGCTGGCGGCCACGGTAGCTCTCCCTGGTGCTGATCCCGTGCGCTCTTGTCCGTGGTGCTGAAATGCTAGTGCAGAGTTGGGGTCTGAGGTCAGGGAAGAGAAAGGGGTACATAGGGTATTGTGAGAGGTACAGCCTCGAGGCTGGACTGGTGGAACCCATGAACACTCTGGATCATCCCCCAAGATGGTCCTATGGCTAAGAAAGCTGGGCCTTCAGGACATCACTGGGGGCTTACAGAGGGGTCAGACGATAGCAACCCTTGATTCTTTCACTTACTCAACACTTATTGAGCACCTACTGTGTCCAAGGTAGTGTTCTGGGTGCTAGAAGCACAGTAGTGAAAAGGACAGAAAGAATCCTGCCCTAGTGGGAGGGAGACAGACTCATGGTGGCAGTCAATTGTCACAAATGCACACATGCACATACTGAGAGCATACGCACACAAATATACGAACATACTCAGTAAACACACACTCACACACAGACACATGTTCACATGTGGAAATATACACTCAGTAAACACAGATACCCACAGCCATTCTCTGAAAATATGCATGTAAGCACACACTCAGAAAACATAGAAACACATGTACACACAAAAAACCTCACACCCTACCAACACCCACATACAAACACATACTTAGCAAACATGTACATGAAAATATACATTCAATAAATGCAAACACAAAGACACACACACAAAGACATATATGCAAGTACACTAGACAAACACAAACACACATAGTTCCAGAACCAAGAGATGTCCAGCTGCAAGCAGGCAAACTCCTACTTTACACAGAGACAAATTATTCCTCCAGCACAACACGTGGGCACACACATACCCCCATCTTGAGGGCTGGGCCTCACTCCCTCACTATGTCAGCTCTTGGAGGGTCCAGTTTGATATGTTTTGTTCACTGCTGCATTCTCAGACCTGGTACACAGTAGACATTCAATACATGTTTACTGAGTGGATGGATGATTTGAAGGAATGTTCGGAAGGGACACAGATTTCTGTAGAAGGACACAGATACACACACTTATGTTTCACATGCAGACAAACACCCTGTTCATCATGGTCAATAACCTTCATCCACTGACTCACCCAAAGATTTTCACAGGGACACCCACACTCATCCTACATTCCCTCCCTTCTGTTTATTTTCTGATTTTCATTCAACTGCACATACTTTGCTTGGTACACACACACAGGCCCCTCTACCAGATTCTGAACACATACACAACCACCCAATCAAGGGATACACATAAACATGTCACTCATCCACCACATATATACATGCCCAACACACACACACAGCCACACAACCAAGAGACATACAGGTGCACCAAACACACACAGACCACATAATTGCACCCTCACCAAACACACACTCCCTGCATATACATACAGAGCCCAGACCACAAGCACATCACAAGGGCATAAATACAGATACATATACACTTGCCCTAGTCCCTGGGCCTTTCATCAGCTGGAGGAGAAGGCGGAGCAGTAGGAAGTCCTGCCCCTGCAACAAACCACGCCCCTTTTGACTGTCACTGTTTCCTGGACTTGACCCTGAGGTGTCTCAGCAACCCCTAGACTTCAGTCTCTAACAGGTGAGGGCCAGCCTGGGGAGGAGGAACAAGGAAGGGGATTGTCCTGTCTCCACAGGCTCCCAGCTTCCCCTGGGGCTTTTGGACCCCAGTGGCAGAACCCAAGCTCTGACACTGCCAAGCTTGCCCTAAGGGCCCAACCCCGGGTGGCAGTCCCTAAGCCGATTGTGGGCTGAGAGAAGGTGACCGTGAGAAGGGTCAACGGAAATCTAGAGAGAGGGAGGAGGCTGGGTAGAGATGAGGAAGGAATTACTGGAAGGAGATAGGGTGTTGGAAGAGCTGAGAGATCCCCTTGCTTCTAAAGAAGGAGAAGATGCCTAACATCTGAGGTTTGGAGATCTTGCTGGGTCTCAGGGTGGTGGGGCACTATGGTCAAAGCAGGGGATGGAGGGTAGGGATGGTCTGGGTCTGAAACGATGGATCTGATGGGGGAAGGGGTCAGAGGTAGGTCCTGATGCCTGCTGGAATTTGAAGGCCCCCAGCCATTGTGCAACCTACTAATGAGTTTTGCAGCCTCTACTCTGCCTCACACTGTCTGTTGGCTGTACATTGGGAGGGTGCCACTGAGCTTCCAAACAGAGATGGCCTAATTCCCCCCCCCCCAGCTGGCTCTTATCTCAGGTAGATATGGCCTCCAGGGGCCACATTCAACCCGGTGGCCTGGCCTGGCCCCTTCGACTGACCCTGGCATGCACCCTGCTGGGGGCCTGTGGAGGAACCCGCCTGATTGGAGTTAGGCCTTGGGGACACCATGGGCTGGTGGCCAATCTGGGGCCAGGCCAGCTGAACCTGGCAGGTGAGTGCCTCAGACCCTGCCTCACCCTTAACATCTAGGAACCCCCAGCCCACCATAGCAATTCCAGAATTTCTTTATGAGAGGGCCTTAGAGTGGCCACCAGAGTAGACAGCGGGGGCTAATGCACAAGAATGGTGGTAAGAACACAGACTTTTGAGCCAGACTGCCTGATTTCAAATCCAATCTCTGCAACTTCCTAGCTGTGTGACCCTGGGAAAGTCACTTAACTTCTCTGGGCCTCACATAGCCTATTAAAAGCAAGGAGAAATAACAAACCTACCTCACAGGATTTTGTGAAGATGAAACAGATGTGCACTTATACCACTACCAGGCACAATGATAAGTTGATTGTTATATATTATTAGTACTTGAAGCTGCATTTGCTTAATAAACAAAGTGTCTTTATTTAAGTTTTATGTTTGGGAGAACTGATGTAGACTGAGGTTTCCCCTGTTCGGGCCTTGGTTCCCCACCCCTACCTCAGGATCCAAGATCCTGGTTCACGGGTCTCCTTTTCACCAGGAGCATGCTGTCCCTCGGAGATGGACACAACAGAGCCGTCTGGCCCTGGGACCATCCCAGAGCGCTGTGGGACGCCGAGCTCCAGGTTAGTACAACACCCTATGGCATCTCTTTGAGTTCTTTGCTTCAGTTGTCCCCGCCGGAGGCCAGAAGCCCTCCGGGCCTGCCTCTGTCTATGTTCAGGTGCGAATCCTTCCTGGGACACCTCCAAGGTACCCTCCGGAGTCACTTCCTCCTGCCTCTCTGCGCTGAGCTCTGCGAGGACTGGTAGGAAGAGTGGGATCCGGGTTGGGGCAGGGCCTATGGTTGGGGCGTGGCAAGGGCGTGGCAAGGGGCGTGGCCTGCTGTTAGCGCGACCCTGTGGTGGAAGGTGCGTGCCCTGACTAGAATCCGGCCAATGTTTTAAGTTTGAAGCAGAAAGAGCTACATGGAGGCGTGGCCTTTATGGACCTGGGTTCTTAAGGCGCGGGGCCTCTCGATTGAAAATAGACGCTAAGAGAGTGGAGAATGTACAAGACTGACCTGGAACGGACGGTGTTAGGGCTTCAGGTGTGGGGACGGTTGTGATGGGGCTCTGGGCATGAATGGAAAGAGCTGATAGAGTAGCAGGTGAGATGAAAGCTGAAGGGATACAGGCTTTCTGAAGGGATACACACTCTGAAGGGAGTGGTTCTCAGAGGCGGGCTCTGAGTCTCAGGGAAGGGCACGCATGGGGCGGGGCCTGGAGGGGCGGGACTTCTAGAACGAGGCTGAGGCGCTTCTACCCACCTTGGCCTCTCCCAACACCATCCCCAGGTTCACCACCTGTGAGGCTGACATCACCTGTGGCCCAACTTGGCTATCACTCCCAGACAGGAGGCCCTGTGAACCTGGCTGCCGTACCTATGGGCAGGTGAGCTTGGGGCGGAGGGCATGGGGAGGAGACTGAGACCCCGAGCCAGGTCCTGTTCTAACCAGCTTAGGTCCCAGAGTCCAGACTGGCACTCCCAAGGCCCATTCCCCACTCTCCTCCCTCCCAAAATCAAGTGCCATACAGGAGGCGCCAGTACCCATCTCAGGGCCCGAGAAGTCGGGATTCGTCCTCTCCAAAGGACCAATTTTGCTTAGATCCCGTCCATAGTGCTCCCAGGAGGACGCAGAGGCCAGGATTCTCCCCAAAGCCCCACACCTGACCTCGCCCTCTCCCCACACATCCTCCTGGGAGCTATTAAGAACGACTCGCCAGAGTAGTTCTGGTGGCACTGTAGTTAAATCATTGGGCTGCTAATGGAATGGTCGGGATTCGAACCCACCAGCTGCTCCCAGGCAGAAAGATGTGGCAGTCTGCTGCCGTGAAGATTCACAGCCTTGGAAACCCTATGGGGCAGTTCTCTATCCTATAGGGTCTCTATGAGTCTGACTGGATGATAGTGGGTCCCCCCCCCCCCGCCGCCTTTCCCAAGGCCACGCCCCACTTTAGTCCCACCCACAGCCTCCTGGGAGGTTCTTGAAGCCTGAGTTGTCCCTCCCTGCAAGGTCCCATCCCCGCTTTGATCCCTTCTCCTAATGAAAGTACAGGGCTTACCCTTTCCAAGGCCACATCCCTGGCCACGCCCCAGCCTGCCCTCTAGAAGCCCCGACCCCCAGGATACCCGGACTCCGCTCAGCCGGGCGCTAACTCCATCCCTCACCCCAGACATTCTCGGACGGCGCAGATCTTTGCCGCTCTGCCCTGGGTCACGCTCTGCAAGTGGCAGCTCCTGGATCCCGTCACTGCCTCAACATTTCTGTCTCGGTGCCGCCCCGTCCCAGACCCAGGCGGCGGGCCCGGAAAGCCACCTCCCGGAGCCTCCGGCGCCCTCGCACCCCGGTGATTCTGGACGCTGCCGCCAGCGGAAGCGGCAGTGGAAGCGGCAGCGGCCCCTAGGTGGCGCCTGGTTTTGGGTGGGAAACGCGCCTCCTCCCCTGGCCCGCCCCACACTCTCCCTGGCTGTTTCAGATTTCCCAGGCTTGTCCCTCCCTTAGGCTGAGAGACTCCCCTCCCCCCGCCCCCCGCTATCCAGGAAACCACTCAACTCTCACTCATTTCCCCTCCCTCCTGAATAAAGTCGCTAGCTAGAGCACTTGGTGTGGCTGCTTCTTGAAGAAATGGGTGGGAAGGAGGGTAGTCAGAAATTGATAGGTGCCTCCTTCTGAATCCTCAGATTCTAGGATTAGAGCTGATTCACACTCAAGTGTAAATGATACTTGTTCTACAGCCTAAGCATCTGTTATAACTGGGAGTACGCAGGTGCCAGAAATGGAGGGGGTGTCAGAAGAGGGCCCACCACCAAGTTCCCTGACTTGCATAGACCTCACTCAGTACCTTTCATAGCTGCTTAGACAGGCCTGGTGACATTTGGCGTAACATCCCTTTCCTCCCTCACCCGATACCCCAGTCCTAGACCTAAGGCAGGACTCAGAATTGGGTTTCAAACAGTCCTCCTGATGCGTCTCCTTATCCACAGGCCCTCAGGGTGCCTCAGCAGCCTCACCTGTAAGACAGGGGCAATGGCCCCATTCAGTGAGTGCCCTCAGGGAAAATGGAACGTCAAGCAGAGGTACAGCCCTGCTAGAAGAGTAGCAGACAGGCCTCTTTCAACTGCAAGAGATAAAACCATCTCAAAACACCTTGAACCAAAACAGTGACTGAAAAAAAAAACAAAAAAAAACCCTTCCCTTAAGTATGGCTTCAGCAATGTATCTAGACACTTAAATGTTAGAACATTGTCTCTGCCTCTTGGTTATACTGTGGGACGGGATCTCCTCACCACAGCAAAAAACGACTAGCAACTCCAGTGGCTCAAGTGTGCCTGTTGTTAGTTGCCATCCAGTTGGCGCTGATTTATGGTGACCCCGTGTACAGCAGAAACGCTCAGTCCCGTGTCACCCTCACAACAGTGGCAGGCTCAAGTCCACTGCTGCGGCCACTGTGCATTTTGAGTCCTTTCCCACCTAAGCAGCTCATCTCCCAGCACCTTGTTGGACAGGATTCTGTTGTGAGCCACAGGGTTTTCACTGGCTGATTTTCTGAACTGGAGCACCAAGCCTTTCCTCCTCCTTTGGTCTGGAAGCTCTGCTGAGCCCTGTCCACCCTGGGTGACCCTGCTGGTATGCGAAATACCAGTGGCACAGCTCCCAGCATCTTAACACACAAGGCACCACAGTACAATTGACAAAACGGGTGGGGGTATGCCTAGTTCTCTGTAAAGCCAGCCTTGCTTCAGTGTGGTCATGAGCTCATCACTGACAGCACTGTGACCAGAGGGACACTGTGCTGTCTGACTGGCCTGGTCTGGGTTATAGGCTCATGCCTGAAGGCACATGGTGAGCTCAGTTCCATCTGAACCACATGGACTGAGAATGGGGGACAGAGGTCCCCCAAAGGCAATGCTGGAACAGAACGGGGAGGGGTGCTGGGCACAGGATCAAGATATGTGCACTACAGAAAATGGTGGCTACTATCCTGGGACTGAAGTACTATGTATTGACCTAGGCTTACAACTCAGTTCTACCACTAACTCATGTTGTAACTCTGGGCATGTGGTTCAGCCTTTGTGACCCTGCTTCATGTGTAAACAGCAGGTAACAACTATTCCTCTCACAATGTAGTTAGGAGGATTAAACAAGTCAATGCAAGTTGTTCTGGTTATCCACTGGTGTGTAGCACACAGCTCCAAACTTAGTGGTGCAGTCATTATCTTTCCTGATTCGGAGAATTTACCGAGTTCAATGGGTAAACTGGGTGGCTGCTGCTTGAGGTCCCTCATGCACTTGCCACAGTAGCTGGGACTGGGGCCACCTCGAAGACTTTTTCACTCCTCTACCTGGCAGTTGCCTTGAATCTCAGGTGGGCTGGTGGCCAGGATAGCTACATGTGCCACTCCATGTGGCCTGGGTTTCCTCACCGCAGTGCAGCCCAAGTTCTAAGGGTAAGTGTCCCAAGGAACACTTCCCAGGTGGAGGCTGGCTCACCCGTGATGGCCTAGCCTTGGAAGTCACACAATGTCACTTCTGTTGTTTTCTGTTCACTAAAGTGAGCCACTAATGCCAGCTCATACTCAAGGGAAGGGGACAGAGATTCACCCAATGGATGAAATGAAATGATTAGAAAATGCTCAGAATGTGCCTGGCATGTAATTAACACTCAGTAAGTATTGTTGTTGTTATGTGCCTTCAAGTCGGCCCGACTCAAAGCGACCCCTCCTTGGGTTTCCAAGGCAGTATCACTACGGAAGTAGATTGCCCGCACCTTCCTTTCGAGGAGTGGCTGGTAGGTTTGACCCGCCAGCCTCCTGGTTAGTAGTCAAGTACCTCAGGCACTATATTACCAGAGTTCCTTCAGTAAATGTTGTTGTTGTTGTTGTTATGTGCCATCGAGTCAAACCCAACTCATAGCGACCCCTCCTTGGGTTTCCGAGACAGTATCACTACAGAAGTAGGATTGCCCAACCTTCCTTCCGAGGAGTGGCTGGTGGGTTTGAACCGCCAGCCGTCTGGTTAGCAGGCAAGTGTCTTAGCCACTATGCTACCAGAGCTCCCTCAGTAAATGTAGCCAATGCTTATTTTTGGTGTTGTTACTGTGGTATTGTGACAAGAGGAAAGGAAGGATATCTAGGCCGATCAAGCGGTGGGGAAAGGCATGATGATCAGTGTGCCTGGAAGCTGGAAATCTAATGTCCTAGCGACTCTGAGCTGGTCAGCAAGCCTGGAGCAGAGCATGGGAGATGAGGGCAGATCATGGAAGGCCTTGAACACCAAGCAAAGGCACTTGAACCTGATGAGGGGTGAGAGCCATGGAAGGCCCATCAGACCGACAGTCTTGCCCAGCACTTGGAGGCAGTGGGTAGGAGACAGTGACTGGAGATGCGGGACACCAATGAGGGTGCTGGACCGGGTCCAGAGGGTGGGCAGAAGGGAGTGAATTCCAGACGGATTCAGAGGAACACCCACAGGGCTGTGCGTCCATCGTCTCTTGAAAGCCCTCAAGAGGCAGGGCTGCTGTCAACCTCATTTTAAACGAGACCTTGGGGATCTTCAGCAAGTGAGTTTAGGGCCCAGGACCTTGCATTTCTAATAGGGGACTGTGGTGTACAGGGAATGAGGAAGGTTGTTGGACAACCGTTTTTGGAATCATCACCAAGTTATATTTGGTGAAAAGAGTAAGGTACACAATTTGGGGTATAACTGGCTTCCACTTGTGCAAAAAAAACACAAAACTAACTTCAGGATAAGAGTACGTCTGAGTGTGTCTGTACTGTGCTGCACTTACTCTGTAGGACCCACTGCAGCAGAAAGCCCACCAGTGAGCGGGGGACAGGCTAGGTGGGAAGATCAACATGCTTCTTTCTAATTTTGAATCATACAAATATGTTGTGAATTTTAAAAATAAAATAAAATCAATCCACTAACGCCTACCTCATTTGGCTTCCCAAAGGCAGTATCCGGGTCTAGCCACAGAGCAGGCTAGCCCCACCTCCATCCCAAAGTACAAACCTTACACTTGGCTTTCCTTAACTGTTTTAATCATAAACTGGGGAGGAGGGAGGCAGGTAAAGGGGGGACCGCCTGACTTTTAGAGGGTGGTGGCCGACTCCAGGCCACGCTCCTGAAAGTACCGGTGGGGGAGGCGGGGCCGGGGACCTTCAGGGCAGAAGTAGGACGTGATCCTCTTGGGTACCTCCTGATCCTCTGTCGAAGAGTCCTCCCTGTGAGGGAGAGGTGACCACACTGACCACTTCCGGTGGAAGCCAGCCCTCTCCCTCCCCACAGCATGACCCAGGCACTCACCACGTAACACCTTCCGCCTCCTTCTCCAGGATACTCTGGGCCGTGCGCCAACTGAACCGGACAAACTGGGGGAAGCCGAACACCGGATCCACATGCTTCTTTAACCATGCTTTTGTCTTGGGATCTGGGGGACGGAGTGGACAAGGGCGGCTAAGCCACATCATAATGCCCAAGCTTCTCAGCCTGGCATCTGAGGCTCTGCCACCTTATCTTGGGCCTCCTTCCACACACATGAGGCATGTTCCACTAAGCACCTTTCTGCCTCAGGGCCTTTGCACAGGCAGCCTCCCCCCTTCACCTGGTCAACAGTTGCTCGTATTGTAGTTTAGGGAGGCTGCTTTTGAGAGATCTCCCTGACCCCCCAAGGACCCAAAACTAAACCCAATCCAATGCCGCTCCATCAAAGTGACTCCCAAAGGACAAGTAATTAAATCAGAATTTATTGACTTAGCTCCCCAAGTAACGATGAGCTCAGTGAGGCAGGGAAAGCCTTGTCTTGCTCACTGCTCTGCCCCCAGGGCACAGCCTTGCATGGGACACACCAGGTGCTCAAAAGTGCTAAACAAATGTCTAAACTATCTTTGGCCACTCACCCAAGTCCCAATCCCAGACTGGTTGTCCTGCTCCACCCTACCCGTCTCCCAGCCCCTCTGGGCCTCACAGGAGGATGGGAAGGTTTCTTGAACCCAGTCACTGAAGCTTCACATCTGCCCTTGTGCGTATGTGTGTGTGAGGGACGTAATCATGCTCACTTCATTGATGAGCAGACCGAGCCTCAGAGTTGGAAGAAGATGGGGAGCCGTGATTGAAGCTACGGCTGTTAAACAGGAGCCTGTGTCCCTTCCCCGTAACAGGTGGGCAGCTGCCCACCTTGGATCTCAGCCCCTCACTGGGGGTCCAAAGAGGCAGGAAAAGGGAAGGGGGTCAGCTCTGCAGCACGATAGCTGTGTGGCTGTGGGCAACTGGCGCCCCCCTCTGGGCCTCGGCCTCTTCTGCCGTGCAGTGGGATTATCAGAACAGTTCGGAAAACCTCAGGAGCAGGCTCAGCCCAAACTTACTCAGCATTAGTACCACTGGTGCCATCTCAGGGCAGCGCCTGAGGCAGCCCGCACTGCTGACCGCTCACCATTGGGGTAGCCTGAACCGTAATCGGCATCCAAGTCCTGCAGTGTCTCCACAAACTGCCAGTTCTTCACTGCTTGGTCTCGGGCCACCTGTGGGCAGGACAAGCGTCTGGAATCTCCCTCTCTCATAGCAACCACCACCTACCCCCTGCCCAAGGGGGTTCTGGGAGCTGGCCCAAGCCCAGTAGGGACTGACCTTGGCACAGATGCTGGCAGCACTGACCACGGGGTACAGGGCATCTGCCTTGGCCTTGACTGTCACCTCAATCCCAGGAAAGTGCTGCTGCAGCCGCTCCTGGTACTTCTCTGGCATTCCCACAGTGTCCACAAACACCTGTTACAGTGACAGGTGTGTATTTGGTCAACAAATAGCCCGAAAAACAACTGTGCAAATTATCCAACTTCATGGCCTCTGCATTTCTGTTCCTGCTGCCCAGGGTACTCTTCTTTGTCCCCAGGCTCCTTCTTATCAATTCATATCACAGGTCTTATTAAATGTCACATCCCAGAGAGGCTTTCCCTGATCACCTGTATTCATTCATCCCTTCTGCACTTACTGGGCACTTAACTGTGTGCCACGTGCTGTTCTAGATGCCAGGACACAGACAACAATCGCTTTCTTGTGGGACAGACATCCTGGTGAGGGCCACAGATAAGAAACAGAACAAATAATAAAGCCTAAGGAACTCTGGTGGCATAGTGCCTAAGGAATTTCACTGCTAACCAGAAGGTTGGTGGTTCAAACCCACCAGCCACTCTGTGGAAAGAAGACTGGGCAATCTACTTCTGTAAAGATTTACTTTCTCAGAAACCCAAAGCGCGGCACTGTGAGAGAGAATTGACTCAATAGCAGTGGGGTTTGGTTTTCAGAAAGGAGAGTTAGAAGGGGTTGTCATTTTAAATGGTGGTAAGGGGGGTTTAAAGAAGCCCTCTCTAAGGTAGAAACATTTCAGTGAAGACTTGAAGGGGGTGAGTGAGTGAGCCATATAGAAGTCTGGGAAAGCACGCTCCTGCAGACAGAATCACCAGTGCAAAGGCCCTGAGGTGGGACCACATTGAATATGCTGGAGGGCAGTTGGAAGCCGCATGGTTGGAGCAGAATGCTAAGAAATAAGATCAGGAGTAACAAGGGCAAGGGTCTCCATGGCAGTTACCATTCTCAGACATTACCTTTTTTCTTTGGTTTACCAGCTGATTGTTCCTGTCCTCGGACTAGGTTCTGAACCGCTGAGGGCAGGGCCCTAGTTTGTCTGTACCTGGGCTGCCTTGCCAGCTCCATCTGACAGGCTGGGCCTCAGTCACCGCCTCAGGGAAGCCTCCCCTCCCACCCTCCCAGCCTCAAGATTTTTCCCTTGTTATTTTCTCAAAATAGCCTGCTCTTTGCCCCAGGACACTCAATTAATGATGACTTATACTTCTCTTCCCTACTCAACTGGGAATTTTCCTGATTTAATCCTGTAATTAGTAAATTAAATGTCAGACAGAAGAGGGAGCAGGATGGGGGGTGGGGGAAAAAGGGAGAACACCGGGACGGGAATCCAGGTGCAGGTGTCTTGGGCTAGGACAGAGGCTGTGGACAGGTAGACAGATGTGGGGCTTGTTCTGGACATGGAGTCTTTGGGAAGCGAGACTAGATTAGGGAGAGGGGTGCTAGGGCTTTACAATGGTGGGACATACATTTCAAGCAGAACCGGGGAAGAAAGGCAACAGCAGCAACAAATGTTGGTGAGGAACTCACCACACCTCTAACACTGAATCTGGCCACTGGACTTTTCTATGCTTGTTTTACCCAGAGGTGGTCAAATGGGGGCAACCCAGGTATCAGAACACTTAGCTCACCTGGGTGACTTTCACACCCTGGTCCAAAGCATACTGTACCAGCCCAGCAGCCGTATCATGGGACAGGGAGTTCAGATTGTATTTGACTCTGAAATGCAAAAGCAAAGCCTAGTTAACCCCTTTCCCACCACAGAGCCAAACCTGCTCATGCTACCTCCCCCAGAGCTGGCTGCAGCTCCATCCCGGCCACTGGGGGAGGGAAGGAGACCTCTCACCGCCCAAGCATGCTGGTAGAAATAAGGTTTGGAGACAGCACGTCCAGTGCCCAGCCCACAAAGTCCCTGTCTTCCTTCATTTTCGCAAAGAGCCGTTCCCGCTCGCTCTCCGACAGAGTCTTTGAGTCTGGGAGGAGGGTTGGGAGAGAAGGTTCCTGGTTCTGTCGGTTCCTGCCCTCCTCCTCCAGTTCTCACTTGCCCCTGCACATATCCTGGAACTACCTCCCCAGACGTAGGCCCCACACACCACGGGCTCACCTGCCACTTTCAAGGCCTTCAGTTTTGCCAGGCGGGACAGGGGGCAATAACAGATGGCGTAGACCATGGGACCTGGGGAGGAGGGGTGTCAGATTTCCGGGAGTGGGGGTGGCTCCCGAGTCCAAGCAGCTTCCGTAAAAGTCCCATCTCTATTCCATAATCACTACTTTTTTCCCCACCGATACAATACCATGGCCATTACAGGCACCACGCCTCTCTTCCCACCCCTGGCCCTTGGGGCATACCCAGCACTGGGCCCCGGCCCGCCTCATCCACGCCCAGGACGCAGGGCTCCTTGTGGCACACCGCGGGCACAGGTGAACTCAGGCGACAGCGGCCCGTATTGTCTCTCTCCAGCTCGCTGAGATCCATGCTGCTGCCACCAGCTTACAGGAACCAGGGCTGCAAGCGGAGGCCTCCGAGCGGGCCTTGCGCGGGCTCAGTGGAGGTGCTCGCTACCGACCAATAGGCACGCAGGACACGCCCCCACGCCGTTAAAATTCACGGAGCCGGCGCCAGCGCCGCTATCGCGCAGCTTCTTGGGAATTGTAGTTCTCAAGATCAACCGCAAAGTGCTTCCAGTGGGGAACGGGGTGGACAGGACCGCTTTCTAACCACCGCCCTGCCGACTCCGGATTCCTGCCCACAGGAGCTAGTGGAAGCAAAGAGAAGTAAAAGGGGAAACTGAAGTAAAGCATGGAGGACCCGGCCCTGTAGGGGTCTAGAAGGTCAAATACAACTACGTTCCCAAAACACGGGTCTCTGCATCTCTGAGTCTCCGTCCCTCACTTGGATTCAGGCCCTTGTACTCACGATCCGAGTCCCCCCATACACACCCAACCTACGCTCCCTGAACTAGGTATCCCCACTCCTATCTGGGCTCAGGCCGTTAGTTAGCCTTGGAGTCCTCTGTCTTGGTCGCTCACCCGGAGTCGGGATCCCTGCCTCCTACCCCTATTCCCAAATCTGCATCCCAGACCCTAACAGGGTTACGATCTCGGACTCACGTTTCCACTCACTAGGCAGGCTTACTACGCCATCTCGAGGTTCCTGTCCTTCCCTTCCCCCAGCCCCCACCGCTTTCCTCTAATCCCAGTGGGGCTCACGTCTCCCAGTCCTGGCTCCCACCTTTACCGCTTATCTCCCTCAATCCCAGTTTCAGCGACGCTGTCGTTCTCAGGCCAGTGGGTCACACCCCTTCCTCGAGGTCACAGTTCACCCCTTTGCGTCTTCTCCATTCCTGCCCCCTGCCGCCTTTCTTCTTCTCTCCCCAGCATCAGCAGGACTCATGCCCTCTCTCCGAGGGTCTCTGCCCCCACCAGGGTCACGCCCCCTAGTTTTGCGTTCCTGCCTCACACAGCCCTTCTTCCTCTCTCCCCGCCCCACCCCTGCGATCACGCCCCCGGATTTGTCAGCCAGGTAGGCCCCGCCCCCTCTGCGCCTATCTCTTACTCCCGCTCAGGGCCTCCAGTTGCACTCGATGGGCTTGCAGGAAGGACAATCCCGTCGCCGGCAGGGCCGAACCTGCACCAGGTTCTCCCGGTCCAGGAACACTGGGCCCGGCGCCGTCCCCAGCACCTCGCGGCTGCGCTCCTCCTTCCCCAGATCGCAGAGACACCGCCACTTTCCCCAAGGGCTCAGGATCGAGTCCTCCACGGCTGGGGGTGGAGGGCTGATATGAAGATTCAGGTAGAGGGAAACAATCCCTCTATGTCCTCCTATGGCCACTGAGCCAAGTACAGAAACCGAGACCTAGAGAGGGCAAGCCGCCCTTCTGAGCTCACACAACTATCTGGTGAGTGGCCCAGCAGGATGAAAACTGATACTTGCCACCTGGGCCAACCTGCCCAGCTGGGAGTGGTACACCACCCTCGGTGCTGTCCTCAGAAGCCGACTCCCTCCTTCAGGGGCTTAGACTTGGCCTGCCCAGCTGGCACTGAGCCACCAGACCAGCAGCGTTGTCAGGTGGTAAATTAAATGACATAATTAAATGAAATAATGAAGATACTTAAGGCCCCTGGCGTTGTGTTAACACAGAGAACAAAAACAATTATTATGATCACTTTAAAGGCAGCTACCACTTATTGGGGAGCTCTGGTAGCATAGTGCCTAAGGCACTGGACTGCTAACCAGGAGGCTGTCGGTTCAAACCCACCAGCCACTTCTCGGAAGGAGGGTTGGTCAATCTACTTCCGTAGTGATACTGCCTCGGAAACCCAAGGAGGGGTCACTATGAGTCGGGTCCGACTGGATGGCACATAACAACAACAACAACCACTTATTGAGCAGGTACTGGATGTCCTTTCTGAGAGCTCTTTGCTGATTCCTCCCTAGACGATGAGACAGGTCTTATCCTGATTCCACAGCTCCCAAGGTCCGGACACATCCCCTACAACTCTCTCCTCACCAAGTCTCCACCACAGTGGCCTCTTTCCATTCCTATGTTAGGCCTTTTGGCCGTTGTACTTGTTGGTCCCCCACACACACACCAATCCTTGCACTTTTGGCTTTTGTTTGCCATTCTAAGGAGCTCTGGGTGGCGCAGTGCCTAAGGCATTTGACTGCTAAACAGAAGGCTGACAGTTCAAACACACCAGCCACTCAGCAGAAGGAAGATGTGGCAATCTACTTCTGTAGAGATTTACCGCTTTGGGATTCCTTAAAAAGTTGGAAACAGAAATACTATTTGACTTAGCAATCCCATTACTAGGAATATATCCTAAAGAAGTGAGAGGTAGGGCACAAATAGATATACTCAGACCCATGTTCATTGCAGCGCTATTCACAATAGCAAAGATATGGAAACAATGTAATGGTCATCAATTGAGGAATGGATAAACAAACTGTGGTACTTAGACACAATAGAATACTATGCAACCCTGAAGAATAATGTAAATGTGCAAAACACCGCATGCCTTGGATGAACTTGGAGGACATTATGCTGAGTGAAATAAGTCAATGACAGAAGGACAAATATTGTATTAGTGAACTATAGTAAAAAGTCAAGGAAAGGTTTATACATGGAAGGAAACTTTCTTGGTTACCAGGGATAGGCAGCGAGGGAAGGGAAAATTTCTAGATAGGTTGAAAAATATATATACATATATCTTTACCAATGATTATTAGCAGTTACCAGGTGTAGGAGGGAAGGGGAAAGGGATGACTTTTGTTTTTGGGGAGGTATCGAATTTGTTGACTGAAGAGAGTTGATGCTTTTGAGTTGTGGTGCTGGCGAAGAATGCTGAAAGTACCGTGGATTGCTAAAAGAACTAACAGATCTGTCCTGGAGGAAGTGCAGTCAGAATGCTCCTTGGAAGCAAGAATGGCCAGACTTCGTCTCACCTATTTTGGTCATGTTGTAAGAAGGGACCATTCCCTGGAGAAGGATGTCATGCTTGGTAGAGTGGAGGGTGGACGAAAGAGGGGGAGGCCTTCAAGGAGATGGATTGATACGGTGGCTACGATGATGGGCTCAGGTGTAGCAGGGATTGTGGGGCTGGTGCGGGATGGGTCAGTGTTTTGTTCTGCTGTGCATGGGGTCGCTATGAGTCAGAAACGACTCGACGGCACTTAACAACAACAACAACAACATTGAATTTATGCTATGGTGGTGGAATATTTTGGAAAAGGATAGCAAGAATGGTGGCACATGAAAAATGTCATCAACATCCCTGAGCTGTAAATGTGGACGTTGTTATCTTGATGAATGTCTTTTTGTATATGTTTTCACCATGATAAAAGTTAAAAATAAATAAATAAAAATACCACCTTGCGCCCTGGAAACCCTCTATGAGTCGGAATCGACTTGATGGCAGTGGGTTTGGGTTTTTTTTTTTTTTTGACTTGTCATTCTGCCTGCATTGGTTATGTATCTTCTTCAGTGGGGCTTGCTCGGACTTCCCAAGCTTGCTCACTTTCTTTCTCTATCTCCGCCCTTCTTAGAGCCTAACCATATGTTTTTGGATGGATGCGCTTATTGCCTGCTCACGCCCCCTCTCCAGCTGTGAGTTGCTTAAAGGCAATCTCTTTTCCAGTCAACGGATGGAAAAACTGAACCTCAGGGAAAAGGAACCCGCCCACGGACAGACCGCGGGGAAAGAGTGGGGCGGGGATCTAGAGTCCGTTGGGGGAGATATGCTTTCAGCCAGCTGGCGAAGTAGTTACCCTACTAAGGCACCATTCTGCACCGTCATCCCAGCCACCTGCGGTTACCCTTCTCCTGCTGCAGCCGCCGCAGCTGCTCCCAGGTGTCGCCTTCGTCCTGATCGCCGAAGTACTGGTAGTCTGAGGAGCCCTGGACAGGTTTCGCCAGCAATGGAACCATCAGAGGCAGCAGCAGCAGCGCCGCCGGGCTCCGGGCCATGCCGGACTCCAACTGCCCCCCGCGGGCTCCCGGGCTTAACCTCGCGTGGACCTGCAGCGGCTGCCCTACCCCCGCGGGCCCGCGCAGTGGTCTCGGCTGGCGGCTGCGGGTCTCCCCCCGCCTCCCGCAGGCGCGTGGACCAGACCGGTTGCGCTCCCCCCTCCGCCCAGCGCAGTGGACCCGACCGCTCCGGAGTCCTCCCGCCCCCCCCCCTCGCTCTACGCGTCATGGTTCCGGCCGTGCATAAAAGGCTCCGCGGCCCGGGGCGCACTTGACGCTGAGAACATTGAGTCCAAGCTTCCAGTCGTCCGTGCGTCCGGCTCTAGCCCACGCAGGTATTGACACCTGGAGTGCACCTGGTTGGGGGAAGCCCCTTTCGAGCAACTCCGGCTCGAACACCTTATTTCTGGCCGCCTTTGTTTTCCTCCCGCCGCCGTGGCCGCCTTTGTCCTTGCGGTGGAAACCGAGGCTGGAGCCTTGGAATACAGGCCACATAGCCGTGCTCCCAGCCCACTGCTCTTGGGGCCTTCATTGTCCCCTCCCGGCACTCGGAGCTTGCGCCACTGCGCTCGGGCCTACAGGCTAAGGGGGCCGGACAGCAGCGGCCAGGCCTCTGGTGCTCTCTGGTCAGGGGGCGGGTCTCAGCAGCCTCAATGACGCGCAGACCCTGTATCGGGGAGGGTGGGTGCCAATGGTGCTGCCTTTGCGCTAACTCCGCATGCAGCATGACCTTGGGAAGGGAAGACAAAGGGTCTCCTGGGTGCGCTGACCGGGCAGGGGCGGGGTGGGGGGGTCTCAGCTTTCAGTCATGGCCTCTGGCAACGCGCACATCGGAAAGCCCGCCCCCAGCTTCCAGGCCACTGCAGTTGTGGATGGCGCCTTCAAGGAGGTGAAGCTTTCGGACTACAGAGGTGAGGGAGGCCTGGAGGGGGCTCAGGGAGTGTGGGCCCAGGCATAAGAGGGTCTGGGTCCTAACTCCTCGTTCACTCCCACCAACCCAGGCAAGTACGTGGTACTCTTTTTCTACCCGCTGGACTTCACCTTTGTGTGTCCGACCGAGATCATTGCATTCAGCGAGCATGCCGATGACTTCCGCAAGCTGGGCTGTGAGGTGCTGGGGGTCTCTGTGGACTCTCAGTTCACCCACCTGGCTTGGTATGAGGGGGGACGGTAGGAGGGTGAGGTGCAGTTAGGCCCACACCTTAGGGTCCCACATGGCTGCATGGCCATTGCTCAAGTCTGGGCCTCCCTCTCCCCATCCTGAACATAATGCAAATAATGACGCCCAGTTCTTAATGCTGATGACGATAATTAGCATTTGGAAAAATAATTGCTTGGCGCCTGACAGTTGCAGATGCTTTATCTCACTTAGTCGTTGGGAGGCAGGCTGTATTGCCCCACTCTATGCAGATGAAACTCCAGTTCAAGGAAGTAAAGGGCTGGGTCCAGGTCACAGGGTTAGAGAGGACTGGGACCCAGCACATGCTCCCTGCCTCACGCTGGAAGTGAGGAGCACCTGTGAAGGTGCTACCCTAGAACTGTAGTGCCAGCCTGTGTGCTTTAGGCTTCCAGCCACCAGATACCACCCCTCCACCCATTTCAGGGTGGGGTGGGTGGAGCTTCCAGGGCTCTGCTCTAAAGCCCCTTATCTCTCACCTCCAGAGCCCCCACTCCAGTCAGTCATTATCTCACCCGGGGCCCACAGGGTGAGGACCCTGCTGTGCCAGGCCTCCTGAAGTCCCAGTGCTGTCTCCCTAACCCCTAGGATCAACACTCCCCGGAAGGAGGGAGGCCTAGGCCCCCTGAACATCCCCCTGCTGGCTGATGTGACCAGGAGCTTGTGCCATGATTATGGTGTGCTGAAGGAAGATGAGGGCATTGCTTACAGGTATTACGGGACCCTGAGGCAGGCTCAGGGAGCCTCATCCCCAGGGTGAAGGGACTACCTCTCTGCTCCCAGCCCTGTGGACTGCAGAAGATGGTGCTCCCTATTCTGGTCGGGAGTTCCTGGCTTCTCACTGTGAGCCCTGATGTCTTCAGGGGCCTCTTTATCATCGACGGCAAGGGTGTCCTTCGTCAGATCACGGTCAATGACCTACCTGTGGGGCGTTCTGTGGATGAGGCTCTGCGGCTGGTCCAGGCCTTCCAGTACACAGATGAGCATGGGGAAGGTGAGTGGTTCACATACAGTCCTTGTCAGTCATGCAGACATTCACTGCCTCCCCTGCCACCTGAGCAGCACAATGTTAGGACCCCAAAGAGGATTCAGCTCAGGGCTTGTCTTTGGGAAATGCCTAGTCCAGTGGGGGAGACCCCAACTCAGTACAACACAAGGATGAGAAGCTGGGAGGTGATACAAGCCGTAGAGATAACTGAAGAGGTGCATATCAAGTCAGGCTTAAATAACGTTAGTTGGATCACAGTGCCTTCTCACGTGGAAGGGACTATCTGCCATAGACTCTTAAAGTCCATGGGAGCTGAGCTGAGCTGAGGGACTGAGATGAAGTTGAAAGGCCAATGAAGAAATTAAAAATAAGAACAGGAAAAATATCAGCCAGAAAATACTGCAGCTAGGCCTGTGAGACTAGCCACAGACAACAGAATGGTAATGGAACAGAGGGCTTCTCTCAACATGCAATTTCTTAGGCTTGGACCACTAGGCCCTGAGGTTTTTCTTCTGCAACTCAGGCTCTGGTTTTGCTTCTGATGGCCCCCGACTGCTGTCCCTGCTTGAACACGGGGCTCACGCATGCTTCCCTGTGTCTTCCCACAGTATGTCCCGCTGGCTGGAAGCCGGGCAGTGACACAATCAAGCCAAATGTGGACGACAGCAAGGAATACTTCTCCAAACACAACTAGACTAGCAGGCAGGGGACAAGTTTGGGTCCTCTGTCACCACCTGTGCCCCTGTCTGGGTGCCCCATGGTGCCCCAGAAAAGGCTAAGCCTATCCTCTTGAAAGTCCTCAATCTGGGACCCCAGGGGGCTAGGCTAAGGCTTTCTCATGCCCCCACGTGGGAGCTGACGAGTAGTGGCCCTCCCTTCCCCAGAGCCCACCCTTTGGGGTACAGGTCTAATAAAGCATTAGGAACAGTTGAGAATCTGTGCACGTCTCGTCTGTCCTTGCAACATCCCTCAACCCCATGTGCTCTCCCCTCTGGTCTTGGAAACTGATTCTGTAGTTACTTGTCTCTACCACAAGGTGGCAGCCTTACATCATGCGCACTGTTAACGCCTTACTCCTTCCGCCTGAGCCTGAGGGCAGTTGTGGGAGGCGCTGTGTGCTCTTCTGAGGAGCATTTTCTGCGCGTTCTACACCCTGATACCTGGCCTTGCAAGGGAAGGCCCATACTTTGTCATCATGCAATCTGGGTTCAAATGCCGTTTAATAGTTGTGATCTTACCTAGGTTTCCTCATCAGTAAAATTAGAATGAAGAGGAGACCAACCAAACTCACTATGCAAGTAAAAGGAGATAAAGTGTGTGAAGCCCAGTGCCAGGTCCCTGCTTTGTTGTTGTTAGGTGCCGTCCGGTCAGTTCCGACTCATAGTGATCCTATGTGTTACAGAACAAAATTCTGCCTGGTTCTGCGCCATCCTCAAAATGCTATACCTGAGCCCATAGTTGCAGCCACTATGTCAGTCCATGTCATTGAGGGCCTTCCCCTTCTTCACTGACCCTCCACTTTACCAAGCATGATAGCCTTCAGAGAATGGTCCCTTCTGACAACATGGCCAAAGTGGGTGAGTCCAAGTCTGGCCACTCTCCCTTCCTAGGAGTGTTCCCACTGCACTTCCTCCAGGACAGATTGGTTCATTCTTCTGGCAGTCCATGATGCTTTCAGTATTCTTCCACAACACAACTCAAAAGCATCAACTCTTCTTTGGTCTTCCTTATTCATTGTCCAGTTTTCACATGCGTATGAGGTGATTGAAAACATGGTTTGGGTTAGGTGCACCTTAGTCTTCAAAGAGACATCTTTGTTCTTTAAAGAGATCTTTTGCAGCAGGTTTGCCCAGTGCAATATGTCGTCAGATGTCCTGACTGCTGCTTCCATGGGTGTTGACTGTGGGTCCAAGTAATATGAAATCTTTGACGACTTCCATCTTCTCTCCATTTATCATGATGCAGCTTATTGGTCCAGTTGTGAGGGTTTTTTTTTAATGTGTGGTGTAATTCATATTGCAGACTGTAGCCTTCAATCTTCATCAGTAAGTGCTTCCAGTCTTCTTCACTTTCAGCAAGCAAGGTTGTGTCGTCTGCATGTCACAGGTTGTTAATGAGTCTTTCTCCAATCCTGATGCCACATTCTTCTTCATATAGTTCAGCTTCTCAGATGATTTGTTCAGCATACAAATTGAATAAGTGTGGTAAAAGGATACAACCCCGACACACTCCCTTCCTGATTTTAAACCATGCGGTATTCCCTTGTTCTGTTCGAATGACAGCCTCCTGGTCTATGTACAGGTTCCTCATGAGCACAATTAAGTGTTCTGGAATTCCCATTCTTCTCAATGTTATCCATAATTTGTTATGAGCCACACAGTTGAATGCCTTTGTATAGTCCCTGTTTAGGGCCCAGTTAATGGTTACCAGGATGATTGCCTTGGGCAGGATGAAGCCCAGCTGATGGGGACCCAGTCCTGAGCTACAGCCTCTGCTATAGGCTCCGTGCTACTTCAGCCTGTAAGGGCTGCCTGTCTATCCATGGTGTGAAGGAGTAAGGATAAGGTGAGAGGCAGGTGTTAGGAACAAGTCTGTGTTCCCAATGGTTACCACACTATTGTAGTTTGATGCTGTGTGGGTTCAGACAAGTGACTTTGCCAATCTGATCCCCAATTTCCTTCCACAGAACAAGGCTGATACACTCATTTAATCCACAGTCCCATTACTACCCAGGCTAATCTCCTCCAAGGGTCACTCATCTCTCTTAGAATTTAATCTACACTCCTCTTCAAGGCCTATGAGGCCCTGTGTGGCCTTCTCTGACCTCATTTACTCTGTCTGTGGCTCAGTCAATTCCAGCTACTTTGAAGCTTCTGGCTGTTTTTTAACAGGCTGATCTTGTTCCGGCCACAGGAACTTCGCAAGTGCTGTTCCCTCTGCCTAGCACGCTCTTCCTGGGATTTTCTCAGGGCCACTTCCTTCAAATCTGAAAAAACACCTCACTAAATAAAGGTCCACCCTCCCAATGCACTCTCCGAGGCAGCTCCATCACTCTATGGCCTAGAGCTGTTTTTGGCCTCCCAGCACTTATCACCATCACGGAATCATATTTGCTTGTTTATTGTCTGTCTGCCGTGGTCTGGGTTGTGTTTCCAGAGCCTGGTTGTTCAGTATTTGATAAACGAATTAATGATGTGCCTGTCCTTCCCACCCCACCCCTGTGTTCCGGTTTCTCGCTGTTTTTCTCCGCAGCTCTGAGGCTTCCAGCCTTTTACGCAGCCGCCCCTCACCCGTCCCAGCAGCAGGGGAGGGAGCCTCATGCGAGGGCGGTAGCGATGCCCGGCGGCCCGAGCAGCCGCCCCGGCAGGACCAGACCTGGCAGTCGCCCTGCTCCCGGCCTGGCACCCGGGAGGGGAAACTGGCAGGCGGGCACCGCCCTTCCTGACGGGGGTAGGGTGGGGGACGGCGGCGGCGGCGGCGGCGGCAATGGCGCGGAGGCAGCTGCAGTCCCCCGCCTGGGTCAGGTCAGACTGAGGGGGCGTGGAAGCGACCAGGCCGCGGCGCCAGCCTAATGGAGGAGCCGGGGGGTGGTTCCCCGGGGCCCAGGAGCGCGGCCCGCCCACCGCAGGCGCTCTGGACCCAAGCCTGGGGCTTTCCGTGCCTGGGCAGCCGCCTGCTCGGGAAAATCCCAGCCCCCTTCCCGGCGCCTCGGCCTTGCCGGGCAGAGCGGGGGAGGGGATTCCCGGAATCTGCCCAGAGACCGCCGGCGCGTCACTGGATAGAACCGATCCATATACGGGCAGCGCTTCCGCTGCGTCAGCGGGGAAAGCCCCGGCGCGCGCGGCTGGGCGGGGCCGCGTCTGCGCACTACGCGTCTCGCCCCTGGCATGCAGCCCCGCGGTGCTGTGCTGTTGGACCACTGCCCGCCATGGACCTTCCAACCCCCGGGCACCAGGAGACTCACGGAAGGGGGCCTGGACGCCCAGGCTGGGGCCCCAAGATACGTGGACAGGGCTGGAGAGAGGGACATAAGTACTGGAATGAGCCCCAAACAGCGGTGGGGTGAGGGCAGCTCAATCTTCTCCTCCCTCCGCCCGCCAGCCTTGGAAAAAAAAAAGACTCCAGAAATTAATAAAGAACCATTTTTTTTTTACTTAAATAAATTCAATAAAAAGTCAGAACAACAAACGCACACACACACACAAACACATCTTAAAATAAACTCTTGAGACCAGATGCCTATTTCTTCTCCACAGTACGATGCAGAGGGGGGAGGGTAGGGGGCGGGGGTCCCCTCCCCAGTGTTCCCTTGGGCTTGAGTACCAGGCGGCGGGGCCAGCTCCGCCGCGGTCGCCCCTCCTCCCCTCCCTGTTAAATACACAAATATATTATATTCAATATGAATCGCGTCTGTTTCCAGCAGAAAAAAAAAAAAAAAAAAAAACGTTGAAGGGGAGCTTGTAAACGTCGAGGTGGAAGGATTGGGCGAGAGCGGGCGGGCCCGAGTCCAGTGTGGTTGTGGCGCCCCCGGGCCCCGGGGCGGATGTCCATCGCCTGCCTCCTCGCCCCCCTGGGAGGCGTGCGCCCAGCCGTCCAGTCTGGAGAGGTGTCCGTACGGGGTGGGGGGCGCTCAGAAGGCGTGTCCCTTGACCCCCAGCAGCAGCTGGCAACCGTTGCTGACGTGAGTCATGACCTTCTGTTTGAGCTGGGCCACCTGCTCCCGGAGGAGGCCGGCAGTGTTCGACAGCCCCGCGTTCTCGGCCTTGAGTGTCTTCACCTTGTCCTCCAGGCGTGCGATGCGCTCCAGCTTCCGCTTCCGGCATTTGGTGGCCGCCAGCCGGTTCCGCAGCCGCTTGCGCTCCACTTTGATGCGCTCCTGATCTTCCATGTTGATGGGGGACACCGGCGGCGTGGCGTCGCGGCTGCGAGCCTCTGGCACCGTCTGTGGTTCCTCCTTGAAGGTGGAGGCGCCGCGGCCCAGGCCCAACTGCGCAGGGTGGCCGCTGGCGAAGGGCGGTGCGTGTGGGAGGTAGCTGATTGTGGCCGTCGGGTACGAACTGCCGGTCCCGACGGCGGCCCCGGAACCTCCGGAGGATGCAGAGGCCGGGGAATAGCTGCTGAGGTTGGTGTAGACCGGAGGCGGCTCGGAGCCCGCGTAGACGCCGCCGGGGCCGGCCGGGGGACCCCCGCTGGCTCCTAGGGACACGTTGGGGGGCGTCACGTGGTTCATCTTGTGCAGGTCGTCCAGGGCTTTGACAAAACCGTCGGCGAAGCCCTCCTGTTCCTCGGTGACGCCTCCCCCTGCACTCCCTGAACCTCCGCCGCTGCCACCCCCACGGGGGTAAAAGTACTGTCCTGGTGGCGTGGGTGTCGTCGTGATTACGCCGTTGCTGTTGGGGACGATCAGGCGCTCCAGCTCCGACGAGGCAAGCTTGAGAGACGCGCCCGAGTCCGAGCCCTGGCCAGAAAAGTAGTTCCCTCCGCTGCTGCCCTCTGGTCCGGGGCCCCGCGCGCCGGCAGCTTTAAGGCCTCGATAGGGATCGGCCAGGTTGATCGCCAGGCTCGGTTTCAGGAGTTTGTAGTCGTGTAGAGAGATGCCGCCAGGGGCTCGGCCGTAGCCCGCCGTTGCGTATGAGTCGTCGTGGTAGAAAGGCTGTTCCATTTTAGTGCACATCCGGGCGGCCCGGCGGGCTGGGGGGAGGTGGTCCCTGCGGGGCCTCCCCAGGCCTCGCTGCCGCGAGTGGCGCACTGTCCGCGGCAGTGGCCGGACTGGGTATCGGGACGCGCGTTCCTGGGTACTGGTTCGGGGAGGGAGCGGCCAGCCGGTGGCTGTGCCCGAAAGCTCTACCCGGCTCCCCGTGTCCTTCTCGTCCTGTCTGGTGCACTCGCTTTCTCGGCGTCGCTTCCCCCTGCTCCCCCGTCCCCAGCAGGATCGGACGTTGGCCTGGCTGCGTTCAAGGTCCCGGCCGCTCAGCCGAGCCTCTGGTCTTTATATGGACTGTCAGCTACGGAAGTGCGTTCGGATTGGCCGCCTCCCGAGCCCGGCCCCCGCGCCCCCCTCCTCGAGCGTGGGGAAGGGGTGGAGGCGGCTCGCGTCACTGTCAGGAAGCGCGTGTCCTTGTAAACAGCGGCCACGGGCCGGGTGGCGCGGCGCGGCGGCAGGGGAGGAGCTGGGGGACCCTGGAGTGCGCGAGGAAGGAGCTGCTGGGGGTCACGAAGCACCCGGAGGAGGGGCTGAAAGGGGGGAGCGATGGCTCCCTTAGAATATACAGGAGGGAAAGGAGGACTGACTAGAGAGGAAGTGTGGGTGTCCCAGGGTGTACGCTAAGGCCTGAGGGACCCAGAGTATTTGAAAGGGGTTGGGAGGCTGAGAATAATACACTGAAAGCCTCAAAAAAAAAAAAAAAAAAAAAAAGGCAGAGAGGGCTGAAGCGGGTAAATGGTGAGGGAGAAGGATATGCCTGGCACAGGAGTTTTGTGGGGGTCCTGGAATTTTCACAGGCGGAACTTAACCCAGAAAGATTGAGAAAGGGAAAGATTTTAAAGGATACACAGAAAGGAGCTAAAGGACCCATTGTACAAGAGACCAGTAGGGGTGCTTGCATCCATAGGAGCGTCTGAGGGCCCTCCCTAAGTGAAGAAGGAATGAAGATGGAGGAATCTAGATATGCGAAAAGTGAGTGTAGTCTAGGGTACACTGGGCCAGGGGAAATATGTGGAGTAGGGGACTAGGTTGGGGGGTGTCACTGGGGTCATCTGAGAAGCCCTGATGGAGAGTTAGAAAAGCTGGGACACCATTCATAGCTGACAGAACAATGACAGGAGACTCCCCAGCTGAGATATGCGAAAAGGAGGGGGGCTCTCAGGACCCTGGGGATCAGGACATCCTGGGTCTTCCACCCCCAGCGTGGTGGAAGACCCACAGGCGCCCAGTTCAATGGCCTCCCCCAGTGACCCTGGGCTTGCCCGACACCGTGTCAGCTCTCAGACCCGGGACCCAACCCGATGCCCAGGGCGCGGTCGCCCAACCCCACTCCCTTCCTTAGAAACAGGCTGGGGAAAGACAGCGGAGGCAGGAAATGTGGCAACAGCCCCCGGGGAAGGAGCCCGGCCCTGCCTCCGTCACTCGTATCCTACCGGACCGTGCACCCCACCCTGGGTCCGGCCGGCTTCCATGCCTCAGAAGAGGAACCTGAGCTTGCGACCCCAGCCCAAGCCTGGGCGCGCCAGGCCCGCCCAGCCGCAGAAACCTCCTATCACCGACCCCCACCCCAGAAGTGGTTCCGCTCGCGGCTCCTGCAGGCGACCGCGGAGGCAGCATCGAGACCGTTCCATTATCCCGACAGAGGGGGGCGCAGCCTGGGAGCGGGGCTTGGTCGCCATGGCAACGGCCAGAGTCCGCGGGCAAAGACTGGGGGTGGGGCGGCCCCCGGAGTTGCTCTCCTCGACGCCCATATTAGGACACAGGAAGGGGTGGGGCCAGCGCTGTCCCGGGGCCCCAAGCCAGGAGCCACGAACCCCAGTATCTGCCAGGTCCCAGG